CCACCAGGGAGGGCCTCTAGGGCCTTTTAATGGAAATATCTTGATGGACAACTAGAAGAGCACAAAAGCAGTGTCTGCTGTCTGAGCTGTGAGTCCAACTTCTAAGCTCCAGTGATGGTTGTGAGGCTCTCATACTTGGCTGGCTCTAAGAGGCTCCCTTAGCCCAGCCTGGGCCTGCCTTGGTTCTTCTCCATAACTCAGGATTTTAACTTATTCTTGGCCCTATGAGCAGAGAGGCCTCTTTCCCTGCACACCATGCACACACTCCCATTTTCACAGGAAGTTGGGGTGCTCCTAGATGCTATGAGGACCGCGACACCATCTGTGAGGGTGTCCTGCACACTGAGCACGGTCACCAGGCGCCGATCTGGTGACTCTCCTCTGACCCCACCTCCTGTAAAAAAACAAAGTTAACCAATAGCTTTTCCCTTGAAGCCAATGGATGTTTTCTGTTGAAAGCATAGAGGTAGCTTGCCCACCATCTGCTGTTCCTGATGATCAGTCCTCTGCTTAACCCAAACAGGAAAGAGTATTTTCTTTGTTTGTTATGGATGAAATTAACACTATTTGGTACAGGTTCAGGTAGTAACTTCATTGGACTTTAGCCTTGGTTTCTAGATTTCTGATGTCCCGCTTTCCTTGGCCAGTAATGGTCTTGTAGACCAACATTAGAGTTCCTGGAGGTGACAGAGATGAAAATGGGGTCTAATTCTGCCTGTGTTTATCCTCAGTGTCCCCCCTACATGGCCCTGCATGGCCCTTTGCTCTTGTCACCAACTCAGCACCTGTCATGGCCCTTAAATTTGCCATCTAGGTGGGGTGTGCCAGACCCAGGTTAAGACTTGAATTTGCTTGACATTGTGTACCCTGGTTGTTAAGTTCATCTTTGCTGCAGGTTAGGCTCCTGGGACTCAGATAGAGTTGTGAGGTTGAGCTCGAGGTATAACAGTGCCTTAAAATAGGCCAGGATAGAAAGTAACTAATTAGGTTAGTTGGCACAAGGGTTAATGTGTCAGGAATAGATGTTACTGATGTTACTCTTAACTGGAAAGTACTGAAAAATCAGATTACTTTAAAGTGTATATCAAAAAGTTATAGAAAAAGAACAGTTGTAAGTGTGGACGACCAGGGTTTGCATCCCAGAGTTGTCTGTGCTAAATATGGAAGCGTTACCTATAAAAAGGAACTATTATGGTCTAGCTTGTCTGCAGACACAGCTAGTGAAAGAATCAAGCCAAAAATCATAGCTTTAACTTATAGTTATGCTTTTTAAATTACAAATATAAAACACAGAATTTGTCAAAATAGTTTAAGAAATGGGGCCTCCCTGGTGGTATGAGGGGTTAAGTCTCAGCACTATGAAGCTATATGCAGCCATTGCAGCAGGAGTTTGATACCTGGCCAGGGAGGTGACCCACATGGCCCAGCAGACCTCTCCTGTCTCACCTAGTAGCTTCTAACCATCTATGACCTGTTAAGTTTAAATAAAACAAAAAAAAAATGCAACACCTCAGCTCATGAGCCACATGAGTTAGAGGCACATATTGGTCAGTGCATATGTAGAATAACTTCTCCAGAACATTCTGCCAGACAGCAAGCTCTTCATGTTTTGGGGGCATCAAATCAAATGCATTAGACACATGAAAAATGAAATGGCCTGG